CACACTGCGCGGGACGAGCTGCCCGCGATCGGCGCGGGGGTCGCGCGGATGCAGGGCCCGCCGAGTTCGCGCGACCCCGGCGCCGAGGGGAGGAAGAGCAGCAACGCGAGTTCGGCGGCGAGCACCGCGTGCTCTCTCGGCAGCCAGCGCCGAGAGCACCGCGAGGATCAGGGGCAACGCCCGGGGAGAACTGGGCTCGGGGGGGAAGGCGTCGACCCCCAATCGCCGGTCAAGCCTGAGCTGGTCAAGGAGGAGCAGCGCCGCAAGTTGGTGGCCGCCCGCCGTCGCGCCAATCGCCAGCGGCTCCTCGGGGGCGACGGCGCCTTCGTTGGGGAATGCGCGAGCGGCTTCTGCGGCACCGACTGCACGAGGTGCGCGGCGGGGAGGCAGGAGTAGGCGGCCAGGGCCTTCGCGGGGATCCGACAGCGCAGCATGCTGTGCACGCGCTCCGCGTTGGCATCCGCGGCGGTGCGGTATGGTCTTGCTGCTCATCCTCCGCCCCTTCCTCCGCCTCCTCCTCCTTTCCCTTCCACTGTTCCCCGCACGTTTCTGTGGTACGTCCGCACGTGCTTCCGCGAGACCTCGCCCGCCGGATGTGGTCCTTCCAGGCGCCGCCATCGTGGCTTGTTGCTTCAGGACCAGAAGCTGCAGGTGCTCACAAGGGGCACCAGTTCACCAGTTAATTGTTTAGCCGCTCAGCTGCACTCCCCTCTCGTCCCCTCGCCCTTCCCAACCTCCGTGTGGGGTGACATGTCCCTGCGCGTGGCCAACGCGCCGACCTTCACAGGAACACGGCGCGCGGCCACGGCGCGCATGGCGCGGCATTGAACCTCCTCTGGGGCCGGCAGCCCCAAATGTTTGCAGTCGCGGCGCGATGCACCTCGTTGCCCCTAGCCCCGTCTGCTGCGAGCAACACAGCGTCACACCTGCACATGGCGTGTACGCTGTTGACGAGGGAACAACTCACACTCATACCCATAGGAGGGTCGAAGGGAGGGGAACTGGCTATGGGTATGGGTGCGAGTTGTCGGACCCTGGGGAAGCTCCCGTTCGAGCGGGGACCCCCATCCGACAACACGCACCCATAGCCTCCTCCGTCCCCCCCATGGGTATGGGTGCGTGTTTTTCGATCGTCAGCTGTGGCTCGTGGCCGGCGACGATGTCGTCTTCTTCGACCGCTGCCTTTGCAGGCCCGCCGGAGGGCCTCCGCGCGGCGGCGGCGCCGCCGGCTGCTGGAAGCCGACCTCCGACGGGCTGGCTGGTGCGGCTCCGGCGGGCGGCGGAGCCGCACCGGGTGCAGCGGACGCCCGCGCGGCGAAGTGGACGCGCTTCTGCTAAGAGGTCCTTCTCCCCTCGAGTAATGACGTTCCAAGCTACTTTCAGCCTCGATCGCCAGAAAGAGTGCCGAGCACCAGGAAAGCACCGAACAACCTCGAGGTTGTCACGTGTCCGGCCCCAGGAGGCGTTACTCGTTCGGCGCTCGTTCGATACTTTTCTGGGTGCTCGCAATTATTTCTGGGACTTGGTCCTGAAGTACGATGGAAGCAACATAACCCTTGAGATCCTTCTCCCTCTCCGGTGGCCAGACAGCAGAAGAGCCGTAATAATCTGTGAGATCTCTGCGGGCAGGACAGTTGCCCGCCCACGCACGGGGCTCGGCAGCCAGACGTGCCCTGCACCGGAGCTCCGGCGTGGCCGTCAGTGCCACGTGTACCGTTCTCTCTCTCTCTCTCGCCGTCTTTCTCTCTCGCTCTCTCTCTCTCTCGCGCTCGTTTTCTCTCCCTCTTCGACTGCGCAAGCGCGACATGTGATCGCGTATCAGCCCGAGGGTGGTTGGTTTGGCTTGCAGGTCACTGTTGCAGCTCCTCCTCGCCTTCCTGCTCCTGCCCCTCTCCTCCCTAATACATTCGTGCACAACCAATGACAGATCCTGCGTGGCCATCAGCAGTACCATTCTGGACCAGCTCTTCGTGTCACCCGAGTAAAACGGGCTGCAGGGTGTGCCACAGTGACTTGTTTTTCCCTTCCATTTTGTCAATGCGCCTTCCGTGACAGTGGTCGACAGCCCGCGTTCTCTACGATCGAGCCATGGCGCACGGCGCTGGCCACGACGCCTGTCGAAAGCTTGCATGCACTGGTGCACGGCACCCAGTGTGAGGCTTTTCGGGCGACCGCGCTGCGAGTTGCCAGCCTTCCCGGAGCTCCCGTTCGAGCCCCTTCGGGGATCATTCGCCTTGCCTGGCCGCCTCGGTCTTGCCGGGCCCGGTCGCAAGCGGTTGCTCGGACTCGCTCGCCACACGAGGTGGGAGCGGACGGATCGTAGGAGGAGGCGCGGAGGGGGAGGTGTGGTGGAGATGTTAGGGGAACAAAAAGTGACATAAACGTAAAACTCGGAGGTCCGCGCGGATTTCTCGGATCGGCGCTGGACCCCCCTCCCTGGCGCGCGGAGCGCGCCAGGGGCGGCACCGGAGGCGCCGCCGGGGGGCCCCAGCGCCGATCC